ACCGGAAAGTCAAGACCGTTAACCCGTTGATGTGCGCTGCGCGCAGCACATTTTTATAATATACATATCCACGCGCAGGATTACGTATCTGGTATTCCGAACCAGGATTCGCTCTTTTAATCTTTTAGCACCGATTTCGGGATTAATAAGTATGCGCATTATGTATCGAGCCAGCTCGTCGTCGTCCTCGTCGCGAGAGTGCGACTCTCTCGAAAATGGAAAATCTCGGTTTATTATACGTATGCTGCTTGATCGATTGATTATATCGCGGACGCATATAATATGCTTTTATCGCGTATAATACGTACATACGCTTTCTCACTCTCTCTGACGTCAAGTGCGTGGTGATCTGTCGCGCGCGCGCGCCTGTCCCATTTACGAAAAGGAAAAACGGATTTTTCATCGATATGTCATGTAGCTGCGTGTACGTGTGTGTATGTGTGTGTGTGTGTGTGTGATTGGACAAATATTTCACATTTACAAGAGCTTATACGCGTTTGATATAGAAGAATATAGAAAATCATTATTTATTGGGAGAGATAACGAATAATCGAAACATGGATTCATTTGGAAAGTCATATGTGTACGTATTATAGTTTGACATCGATTATTACGCGAGCATATGCCACCACGCTGCTCTCGCCTTGTTTTACATTCATACATTACAAAAAAAATCAGAGCTAAGAAGCTCGCTCTTCGCCGCTCGAGTTTTATCAACTATATAGATATAAGCGTTTGTATGACTATACATACGCGTGGATCGAGATGCGCTTCGATGTGTGGATATTATAAAGTGTCGCCTTGAGATACAGAGAGAGAGAGAGAGAGAGAGAGACGAAGAAGAAGCTCACCGATCCACATTATATGCATATGTGCGCGCGAGAGCTGTTTGCGTCTCTCGTAATACGCGTGTAAGGTCAAAACTCGTTCTTATTTCCAAGCCTTTTTTCACGTGTTATATTCCGCGTACATATTACATGTATGTATAGGCGACATCGCGCGGTCGTTGCCAAGCTCTGCTGTAGCTCTCTTGCGGAGCTCTGCTCTGCTCTCGGGGCTCGCGCACGCGGCTAATCAGCCGATAAGAGCATTAATGTATATTTCATGTCGTACATCGGTATATACACACGCACGCAGACGGACGTATACACGTACGAGCAGAGACACAAACACAAATACTTGAGGAGCCGACCTTACATATAGCTCGGAGTCGTCGTCGTCGTCGTAGTCGCATATTTACCCGAACGAGAGAGGCGAGAACAAAAAAAAGAAGTTAAAAAAGAAAAAAAAGAACGAGTCGCGATACTATATTGCTAAAAATACGATTGTAAAGCGAGAAAGAAACAGACGTATTACTGCTCGCACACAGCTCGAGGAAGATAATACACATTACGCGCGTTTGTCAAGTCTTGTTGTGCGAGCTGCAAAGTCGCAATGTTTGCGCGATTAAATCGAGAATCTAAGATTCACGCCCGCCCGCGCGCGATACCCTTTAAACGTATGTATAATACTGCAAGTGTACGCGCACACTCACACTCACACGCATCATAATATGACGCAGTGCGCGACAGCATTATAACTCGGCAGAGAGCAGAGGCGATACACGCATTACGATAATACCGACGTAATATACAATTGCGTCGTGCGCTCGACGACGTGCGTGAGATGAAAGTAATGAGTCATTCGACGATTTTTTCTCTCTTCTTCTTCTTTACCTTCTCTCCTATTCCTTCTTTCTCTCTCTCTCTCTCTTTCTTTCCTCTTTTTTTTTGCACGTAATGAGGTAAGATAAAATTCCGAATCACGCGCGCGGACCCGGCGAATATAAACGCGCACACACGACACACGTGTGTCCGCGTCCGTCCACTTCCTTCGATCGCCGAGCTGGGTAGGCGCACGATTATTTCGATCCCTACATATATATATGAGCGCGGCCGAGTGTAAATAAATATTCGAATTTTATAATGTAGTTCCGCGTCACGTACACAACGACACGCGCATTATAAAATGTAAGCAGTGCAACAGCAGCAGCAGCAGCAGCAGCAGCAAAGAGTCGATACCAATCGTCGTCGTCGTAGTCATCGCATGTATTATAAAGGACACACGCGGGGGTTTTTGACGCACTTCCGTCGCGTGTACATGTCATCGCTCGTACCTACCGTATACACATATAAAGCTCGATTTAGATTATTACGTTATGCAAGGAAGCGCGTCTATGTTGTACATCAAGGCGGCACCAATGTTCCGACTCGATGTGTACGCTCGTGCGCGTAGCTGTTTCGTTGTTTTGTTTTTCAAAAGGAGTTCTCTATGAATTTGCGATGCGACACGACGCATCGGACGCGCGAGCGATTAAAAAAAAAACGTTTATATGTAGCGATCTAATACGACGTGGTGAATAACCGATTCTCGCGATGATGAATTTTTTTTTGAACTTCGTTCCAAATCGGGGAAAATAGAACTAGGATTACAATTTTTATCGTTCGTTCGCGGAGGCCGAGCGAGAAACAGAGCGTTTAGAAAGATATCGACGCGAAATTTTCATGCGAAATGTTTACGCGCCTCGATATAACAGTATTCGAAACAGCGCATAATATAACAAACGCGCGAAAGCATATTGCAATTCGCGCAAAGCCGCGTGTTCGCGCTATCTAAGCGCCTTCGCGTAAAAACGATTCATCTTAATTTTCCGTTGTAAATTTTGCTCTCTGCTCGCGAAGAGATCTCGCGAGTCGGCCGTGCGCATATAATAATATAATATCGTACAATATGCCTTATTATTTAAATTTCATTATCGCGTCAAGTCGGTACACTCTCGTATCTGCGCCCCAGAGAGTACGAGAGAGCGAGCGAAAGAATCAAGAAGGCAAAAAAAAGCTCCGGGATTGTGAGTAACAAATGTCGTTCACGGGTCAAGTGAAAACTAATTTATTGAAATGTTTGTGTGTCGCGCGAAACACATATGTATGTATTTATCTCTCTGCCTCTCGCGCGAACTCGATGACGATTTGCTTATTAAGAATTACATGCAGATATACAAGTCCCCGCACATTTGCTTCGTTATATCTTGCACATTATAATCGTGCATATGTGCAATTGTTCGCTTATGTATATGTGCATGTATAATATGTTACAACGAAATTGCGAAAGGCAAAAGCGAATCTTAAGATGAAGAAAAAAAGCACAATGCGAGAGATCGACGTGGAGCTGTGTCAAAATTTGTTTCATCAAAACGTTTCGCGTGTGTGTGTATCCGTGTGCACTTTTTTGGTGACCCAGACAATAATAGTATTGCTGCGATAGTTATATATACAAACAGGCTTATCTGCGAAATCGATCCAAATTGACTTTTTATGTTATCGAGAGTGCTCTTCAAAAAAGCCGCGCATATGTTCTCTCTCTCGCTCTCTCTCGGCTTATATTGTATCGATAATAATTATTACCGCTTTAGCGTGTTATAATTATCGTGGTATATGTGTACGAAAAAACGACTCGCTTGCGTCAATTCGGGCGACGCAACGACTCGACGACGATTGCCATATATATTAATAAAATTTTCTAAAAAAGCAGCAGAGATCGAGTATTTATAATCGAGTATCGAGCGTCTATCGCGACAGATTATTATTAAACCTAAAAACTAGTCAGGAAATCGAAGATGTTCCATTAACGCTTAAAAATATGCACGACGACGCTGCTATGCGGCGTTCCATATTGCACACACACACACACCCGCAAAGCAGGAAGAAAATCAATGTTAATATGTGTTACAAGAGTTTTTTTTTGTTGATTCCTCAATCCTCATAGCGCGACCCGTGCCTGCGTAAGTTATGTAAACTATGTAATCTGTCGCTTCGGTCTATAATTTCTAATTCCGATCGAAAATCTATTAAGCCATGAGGTGGATTAGACACGCATACATAGGCTTTACAATAATATATAATACGTCCTTATCGCTCGGCAAAGATCTCGTTTTGTCAGAGCTTCCTCTCTAGCGAGTTTAAATTATTCATCAAAAATATCTGGTCTTTCCCAATTCCCCAATCGCTCTAACGAATTTTTCCGTGTTTCAATATCAAACACGACGAACATTACATTACATTTCCATTACATTAAGTTACATTCAGCTGAGATTTACACATTATAAACCTGCGCGTGTACATCAAAACGAGATGTGTTGTATCGGTATTGACCTGCAGACTCGAGAGCTCAAGAGACGCTGCTGTAAGACACACATGCGCGAGGCAAACATTATCGCGCTTCATTGATTAAAATGCAGCATACTGTTCACGATTTTGTTTTCAATACTTTCTTTTCCCCCTGCTTAACATTTATTGTTTTAACGTTATCTCTATCGCCGCTTGCTCATTAAGTGATTTACAACAAATTAATTATTTTTCTCATCTTAGAGAGTGAAAGAGAACTTGTGTGTATGCGCGACACAGCAGGCTGCGAGAAATCGAAGTAAATAGATTTATAAAAGTGAGTCCGCGATAAGTAGTGTACTGTGCAACGCAGCAGTGCATACACGATTCTTATACAGCCTCCACGGGTGTGCACTGCAGACGCCGCGCCACAGCTCGATACGTATCCGCCAGGGCACGAGAGCACGACGAGCTCGGTATTGATTGCCAGTTTTTATTTTTATTTATTTATTTTTTTCTTACGCTGTTCGCGTCAAAGCCGATACTGCGTACACACGTCCAATTAGGTGCAGCTCGCGCACATACAAAAAAGTATAGGCTGAGCGCATATCGTCGTGACAAATGTATTAATACAATACGAGATAGGAGCTGCTCTCTCGCGCGAGCGAAGGTTCGATAAGTCCCGCGAGGTGATTCATGAAGTTGCTCCTCTCTGTCTCTCTATCTTTGCGCGAACACGCATAGATTGATTATCGTCGTTGCCGAGCCATATATATACTCATATACATGTGTTAGTGCCGTGTATATATTTATGTTGAAACAAAAAAACAGTAACAAAACGGAGGAATAGGTACTCACCCATTGAATGGGTAACCGGCGAACGTCGCGTCGTACGGATGATACACCGATGGATAGGGCCATGCCGCGGCCGCACCGGCTGCGCCCAAGTTTTCCTTTAGGTCCAAACCACCAGCCTGCAATTGATATAAGAAAAAAGAAATGAAATCAATGGATTAATTTATCTGCAAACACGTGTACATTCTTGTATGCTCATGATACGATTTTTTTGCTTTTTCTCTCTCTCTCTCTCCCGGTCGCGCCAGGCAATATGATATTTATATCGATCGGCGAAATCGTTACGTCTCTGTCGCTCGCTCTCTCGTCAATTTGTGCTCTAAATTCACCGATATACATCGAATATATAAAATTCAATGTTTCTGTGTACAATCGTCGATGAGTTTGTGTGTATGGCCCTGCCGACGACGAGCGCATCTGCCCAATTTCTAGCCGCTTCTCCTTTTTTTTTTATCTCTATATTATACATCTGTTGGCGAGGTCTTGTGCCTCGTGCAAATGCGCGTGTATGACGACCAAAAAAAAACAATAAAAAATGAAATAAAATAAAATAAAACCAACAGATTGTTTGGGACAAATGTCGAGCAACTCGTAAATAAGAGGTAACGAGCTACTCTCCGCGCGCAGTGGCGGACGCGAGCACGCGCCCCGGCTGCGACGACGCGCCTCCTGCACTCGCAAAAAAATCTAGAACGGGATTCATAATGAATTTACAAGAGAAAGAGAGAAAGAATCGAATTGAGTCGGGTGCAGACGGAGCGAAGGATGATGATCGGATTATTTGTGCCTCTTTGTGTGGCCACCGGTCTTGTATTATACCCACCGAAAACACTTGAGTTATCAGTGAACGTGATTCAATACGTGCCTGAAGCTTTCTATCTCGTTTTTCATTTACGAAAATTAACTCGCAACCGCTCGAACGATCGATCATCCACACGAATCGGTTGGAAAATCGGCTCATCGATCGCGACTCGATAACGAAGATGGAATATACAATATAAAAAAAAGGGTCGATTCTCAATTTTTCCATGTTTTCGCTCGCCTATTTCTTTTCTTCTCCTTCTTCTCTTTTTTTCTGTTATTCTGCTCGTCGTCGCCTTGTTGTCGTTGGTATACATAAAAGTTTGCATCGTGTATATACAGACTTTGAGCAAGCGAGCTTTTGCATAATTCCTCTGCTCGCGCGTGTGTGTCTGTGTGCACGCGTGTAAGAATGCGGAAGCCCGATGAATGGAGAGAAACCCCTTTTGCTCTTCTATAAGTCGATGCTGTCTGTGTATGTGTGTGATGTATAAACTCACATGCATATACAAGTCGGAACCCGATTTGAGTTTCGCTCGCTCCATCTCCCTCTTTCTTTCTCTTTCTCTCTCATCGCTAATACTGCAGCCGAGCTTGATGGAACTTTCAAGCGACTATAGCTAATTCCACAGCTGATATACAAGTACGTTATATGTATAAACATTTTTATACATATATATATACGCACGCAAACACGCAGCAAGAGAAAGAGAGAGAGAGAGAGAGAGAGAGACGATCGAGGAGTAGTCGGTCGGTCATAAAATTTTATAAGGCACCAACTTTGATATGTTGTTCGCGACGGATCAAAACACGAGTGCTATGACATCGACGCTAATATCTATAGCAGCGCAAAACACGTCGTCGTATGAGCTCTCTCGGTGTGCTCGGATAGGTTATATAACTCCATCGGTGTATATCGGTTATGAGATTATACTAATAGGTACAAGAATATTGAATATTAGATTTTTAAACAACGAGCTTAGAACTAACGTGTGTGTACGCTTCTATGTATGTTTATGTGCCTGGCACGACTTTAGCTTCTTCTTATTTTTTTCTCTTTCGCTTTGCTTTCTATCTCGAAGCTTCGTCGAGTGCAAAAATCAAGCGAACGTCTCGAGGATGATGCAACTTTTCATCGAGAGAGAAACAGTCGCTATTCAATTGCGAGCTTGAAAGAATATCGAGCTTACCTGTGACGAGTAGAAGGGCGCCTGCTCGGCACCGAGTCCGGGGAAGTACGCGGCCATGCCCTCAGCCGCCGCAGCCGCGTAGGGGGTGGTGTACATGGACAGGGCGGCCGTCGGGATGGCGCCCAGCCTCTGGTACGAGCCCGAGAACAGCTCGTACTGGCACGAGCAGACGGTCTGTCCGCTCAGCGGATCCGTGAATATGGTTCGGCCGGTCTCGCAGCAGCGACCCGAACCGGCGGAACCAGCCGCACTGTTGGGTGGCAGACCGCCGCCCGGACCGCCGCCGCCACTCGTGGAGCCGCCGCTCTGCGAAGCCGGCGAGACCGAAGCGACGGCCGTCGGACTGGCGCCGGCCGGCCGCACCACCGCGCTCGTCACTGCCATTCTCAGTCCGATCGGATGATGCGGAGGCGGTGGATGATGGGGATGAGAACCGCTGTTGTTGCTGTTACCGCCGCCGGTTCCGGACGAGGCGTGTTGCTGCGAACTCGCCGTGGGCGACGTCGCGCTATTGACTATTCCCGAGGAGGACGATGTACCACCGGAACTGCTCGAGGCGGCGATCGTCGCGTTAACTCCCGTCGCCGGTACTGTTACAGGACACTGAAACATGAAAAATGGTAAAACGTTAGAGATCGCTAGTCTCAATGACGTCAGGAGAGAACAGTGATTTTTTTTGTCTCACGGATTCCTGACTATTATAATTATCGCTATTATTATTAGCATTGAGCTCTACAGCTACACCAAATGTAACACCGTTCGACATTCTCGCGTTGCTTCCAGAGTAGAGAGAGAGAGAACCTCAGATAGGTGTACGCGCGTATCATACACGGACACACACTCGTATACACAGACTCACGCGACAACAATTGCGTACGAGACACATCCGGTTAAACGCGCTGACTCGGACACTGGCCGGTCTGAATATTCAACGAATCGTGCCGGCTGTGCACTTCTTGCCGATCGCCTTGCTCGCACACACATATACATAGAGGCTCCTCCACTCCTATTATATTACTCATATATATATAAACTCGAACTTATATATGAGGCATTTCATGCGAAGTGTCCTAGCGCTTCGCCGCGCGGCCCAATTAAGCGAAATCACTCAGTTTCTAACTCACGTAAAAAGTATCAAAATATACTCAGAAAAAATAACTAACTAATGATTTCGATAGGAAATTTCCTCAGCTTTCCGATGGTGTGGTCAGATTTTCCGAAATTTTCCATTTTCCCCGGAAAAATTTGACATAAAGTTTAAAACGCAAATATCTCAAAAAGCCCATTTTTAAGATTTTTTTAAATAGTCCCAATCGAAAGCTGAGGAAATTTCCTAACTGTATGCAAGTTTTCAGAGTGTGCAATTGATTATTACTTAGTGAAACACAGCTGTGAACATCGGGCGCTCGGCCGCGCGGCGGTATGACGCCAGCCGCCGCGCCGTCAGCCATCGCGCGGCACCCACTGCCCTATTCTTGTGTATGACACGACTCTAATTTCTCTTTAAAAATTAAACAAATACATGATTTCGATGTATTTTTTTCTCAGCATTTCAATGGTGCGGTCAAATTTTCCAAAAATTTTCGTTAATTCCAAAAATCGTTTAATTTTCAACTCGCTGTAAAAGTACCTAAGTGCACCTTGAAAAATAACTATCACTCTATTCCGATGGAAAATTGTCTCAGCTTTCCAATGGCGAGGTCGAATTTCCCGAAATTTTCCATTTTCACCGGGAAAATCGTCGAGAACTCTATAAAACTGACTATCTCAAAAACGACTGAATATTTTGAGTTAGAAAGTTTATGTCAAGTTTTTCCGGAGAAAATGAAAATTTTTGGAAAATTTGACCGCACCATTGAAATGCTGAGAAAAAAATACATCGAAATCATGTATTTGTTTAATTTTTAAAGAGAAATTAGAGTCGTGTCATACACAAGAATAGGGCAGTGGGTGCCGCGCGATGGCTGACGGCGCGGCGGCTGGCGTCATACCGCCGCGCGGCCGAGCGCCCGATGTTCACAGCTGTGTTTCACTAAGTAATAATCAATTGCACACTCTGAAAACTTGCATACAGTTAGGAAATTTCCTCAGCTTTCGATTGGGACTATTTAAAAAAATCTTAAAAATGGGCTTTTTGAGATATTTGCGTTTTAAACTTTATGTCAAATTTTTCCGGGGAAAATGGAAAATTTCGGAAAATCTGACCACACCATCGGAAAGCTGAGGAAATTTCCTATCGAAATCATTAGTTAGTTATTTTTTCTGAGTATATTTTGATACTTTTTACGTGAGTTAGAAACTGAGTGATTTCGCTTAATTGGGCCGCGCGGCGAAGCGCTAGGACACTTCGCATGAAATGCCTCATATAAAGAACTAATGCGTTTAGATACGTTAAGGAGTCGCTTTGGCTACGATCGTAAATGTGTCTGTGCGTGTATTATTGGACAATGTGCGCGCTCCCGTGGACAACTAATGATGTTTATTCAGACGAGAGACAATAATACACACATGCGTATACCTACGCGGACACACCGCAAAGACTTGTGCGCTCGCGCGCCAATATTATACGATGCCTACGAGGCATTGTTCGGCTTTATAAGGCCAAAGTACAGAGACGACGACGACGACGACGACGACGACGACGCGCTCCGCATCGCATAAACGCGTTTGTCGAATTATCGCTGAATTAATTAGTCGAAATTTTCCGATCTCTCTCCTGTGACGCTCGAGGCAGGCGCGCCGCCGCCACAGCGATCGATTTTCGTTTTTCCTCGTTTTTCATTTGGTCTAGTTATTTTGTTTAGCCTATGCCTATGTAACATAAATAATGCTTAATAAGCTGCGGCATTTTTCGATACCCATAGTAATGAGCACGCGCGAGTGCATTATATTATAATACGCATACCGATTTTGAGCGCGTGCGTAAACCTGTCTTGTTTTTATTTTTTCGTTTTCCCAAGATCGGTATACATATAACTCGTATAAACTCACGCGTTCGTGCGTGCGTGGGCCGTATCTACAGAGAGCAGTTGTTTTTCCTCAAGAACATGCGTACGAACCCAGAGATTTTCTCGTTCGATCGAATTTTTCATATACTCTTGTGCCCAAAGCCGATCTGTCTTTTGCGTCTTTCGTGGAAATCTGTAATCGCTCGCGTTATAATCGTTGCCTCGAATGCATTACGATACGCATTTTTCGGGTACGCACGCACGCACGCACGCACGCATGCATCCGTATACGTGAGGTTATGAACAATAAAAGAATGCGATTGTCGCGTTATGTATCGCGCAAAAATGCGCGCGGCGCAAAAACAACGGGAGAAAAAAATTGAAGCCTGAGAGACAAAAAATGAAGATGTAAATTTGTCGAGCCTCGAATTTGTCGCTCGCTTTGGGTCTCGCGACCTACAATAATGTATAACGACACGCGCACGCTCTTATATTTATACGAGCTCTTTACATTAATAATGAATCTTTTTAACCTCTGGCCTTGTAGAGTACATTTTACACGACAGTGCTAAATATTATAGAATCGTATTTCCATCGTTTTTAGACGTCATCGACGATGAGAGCGGCGACGAATACTCGGAACAAAGAGATAATGCGACTGTACTGCTATACGAGGCAATCATATCGATACGTATTATAATAATTTTTGCATCGGCTTATATTTGTCTCGAAGAAGTGACCTATGAACCTAATAAGCCTCGCGCGCATCGAGAGAGCCGAGTCGAAGCAACGCAACAAACGAGTCCACGCAAACTTTGTTCCTCGAGTTCATAGTCAAAACAATGAAAAAAAAAGAAAAGATGAAGCAATCGCATTGCCATGTAGCGAAAACATAAAATTTCCAACGAGCAAGAGGCTTTAATTTACTATATCATATAAAAATAAAATGTACGCGTTAAAAAATAAAAGCAAAAGTTATTTTGCAATGGGATTCACAACATCTCACGTACGCAACATTCACATCTGTCTTCGTTGACTCGTACACAATACGAAATACATACAAAAATTCCCTATAATGTGCTCTCGCTCTCTTGGCTGCGAGGCCATCCCCTTTGAAAAGTACACGGCAGCAGTAGCAGAGCTCGTTCATTAATTCCACATCAAACAAGCCAGCTCTAAATAGATTAAACTCCCGAGCTTTTCGTACGTGTAAGGGTAGGAAATAATATTTCGAGTCTTTATCTCTATATGACTGTCTCTGCGCTTCTATGTATGCTATATGTTATGTGTACGCGCGAGCCAGTGTTGTTATAGTTGTTCAACATGTCTTTGGACACGCGGCGACACAATGCAACGTATGCACGAGCCATCAAATATTTATAATATTCCTTCTTTTTTTCGCATTACGTTTGTGTGTATACCAGCTGCTTGTGTGGCGTTGATCCTTGAATTTATGAATCTCTTTTCTTTTTTCTCTCGCTCTTTGCGGTTATAAATGATGAGTTTTACTCTCGGGTCGGGATTTGTACGTGCGCTCTGCTACACACACGAAGCTTGGAAGTTGTTTACCGAGCCTATATAAAAATAAAAAAAAATAAAGACCATTGTCGCAACCTCGAGGTGTTTTTAATTATAATCGATTGAAGTATATAAAATAGTCGAACGCGACCCCGATTATTTATTATACGCGTGAAAGTACTGTCGCGAATCTTCGTTGGGAAAAGCGCGTCGCTTTCATGTTGCACCGACTGCGCGCGCAAAACAGCTCAAACCACCCGAAAGGACAGAAAAGAGGAGGAGGATAGACTTCCGCCGCGGCTCGGGTGGCAAAAGTATTGCGAAACATCATTGTTCGTCGCTTTGGGTTTTTTATTTTTTTCGTTTTGATAAAATGCCGACGCGAGCAGTAAGCTATATGAGTATCTCTCTCTCGCTCTTTTTCCTTTACTCGATACATTTCTCACGACGATCACCAATTCAAATTGCCATTATAGTTTTATAAGCAACAAACCGATACAAATGCGTATAATGTGTGGCCTGTTTCGTGACACTCTTGCGTGACGTACGTTACGTTTTATATATGCTTGGTATACAGTGTTATACGTGGACAGAGGCGACGATTTGTTCTTTATACATTTTGGCGCGATCCGTACCGTCTTTTCTTTTTCCTTGTTGTCGTTGTTGTTTTATTTTTTGACTCGCCGAAAGTACACTTTTTAATGCATAATACATTGGCACGCGCGCTATATAGCGACGAATTCGAACAGCATAATACGAACAAACCCTCGCTTGGGCCAAAGGATTTCGAGTTGAGCAATGTGGCATCGAATCGACGATTATACAACGATTACGTTTCATCGCGATCGCTAACCAGATACGTATTATTCCGAGATGGTATCCCCCGAAATCGGTAGGCAATCGCTAACAGATTTCAAGAGAGTTTCCCATAATATAATGATACATCGTACGCATATTGGACTTTTCCATCGCGCAGAAATGTACCGGACGAAAGAGTCGCAGAAAAGCTAGGGCTAGATTATAATTTGCTATCGCCGTCGACCACGGTGTAGGACAGCAAAGAGCGGCGCAACGAGGAGGACCAGAAAAAAAAGACAACGCACAGCGCACGATCGTCGTGATCCATACACGCGTATT